TTTGTATTCTAAGAACCTGGCTGCAGCAATTCTTAGAAGGCCAAAGCAGCCCTGCCATCAAATTATCAGTTTTAAAAAATAATAGTTATAACAATAATATTCCCATTTACCTCATGGAGATATTTTTTCAAGGTATTTATAGTGAGTAGGTAACTCATGTTCTGTCCAAAAGCTGCAAGATGTCTAAGCATCCCTTTCCTTAATATAAGGAAACGTACCAACTCAGTTGACTCCAGAAGTATTTCCAGAAGTACTTTAATGTGACAGTGATCTGATATAAAGACTGAATGGCATCTTAAAACTGAAAAAAAAATGCTCCCAATATTGTTTCTTTGGTGACCAATGATTCTAAAGTAATTGCACTAGAAAAACAATCCCTTTAACATAATCATGCTAATATGGCTAAATGTAACAATTGGCTGTCTAGAATAATTCAGATAAAAACTTGAATACATGATTCTGTAATTAAAGGAAGACAGTATTTTGGAAAATGCCATCAATGGCTTCTTTATGTCTAAGCCGCTGCTACTAAGGCTTTTCCATTTGGCAAAAACGGATTTTTCCCATGACACTTAAGGTCCTTAAAATGATTTATTTTTGCATTTGTAACTATTTGCTGAAACAAGCCATTATTCATATCCTTTATTTATGTGGAAAAGAACAAATGATCTGCTCGTCATAAACATCTTCAAAAAAAAAAAAGAGCCATGTGATGACAAATTAGGATGAGGAGTTGACTGGATTAGGATTTGCTGTTTCTTTTGTGTTGGTTTGTTGGTTTTCTTGCTGATTTTTCTCTTTTGTGGATCAGAAGAGAAAAAAGCAAGACTTTTATTCATCATTCTAAATGGCAATTGTGTATGGTTTATGTATATACATATGTACATAAAACATCTATGTACATTTATGTTTTATGTACATAAAACATACAGAAAAAGACTTGGCTACAGTTGAAATATTAATTTGAAATTTAGTCAATGTGAGATTGTCTCTCTAAAGGAAAAACAATTTGTTAAACTGATGTTAACTTATACCACACTTTGGAATCAATTTATCTTGTAATATCTGTCTATTCAATTTATTCTTGGTTAGGTATTACTGACAGTACTGGTTAAATCACACTAAAACACTACAACCTAGAGTGTATTTGAATGCATCTTGGTAACTAAGATATATTTTGATTCATAAACCAACTGGTTTTGCTTTGCATGTGGTAAAGTGACTATGAGGTTCGTAGGAAACTGACTCATAACGGAAAGCTTTCTCCAGCATGCCCTGTAGCAAAGGCACAGTTGCCAAGAAGTTATCTGGGTTCATTTCCATAGCAACCAATCAATATAACTGTTTATTTTCGAAAGGCCTTGCACTTGAACTAAGAATCTTATAAACTTCAATATTACTGTTTAAAGTTAAATGTTCTGATTATTTGACCTTTCTTGTCAGCACAAGGGGAATAACTTGCTGGTGCTTTTCTTTACACAAAGATTACATTCATTAAAATATGTCAATTTTTCTTTATATAATGGAATTAGAACTGTTTGGTGGAGTTGGGGCAGTTGCTTGGGTTTTTTTTGCAGATCGTGTTCAAATATTTCAAATATCTTGTTTTTTTGAAACTGTGTGCCAGTGTTACACTTTTTTGATGTTCTTATGGGGAGGAAGGGGTATTCCTGGTTTTACTTGATTTTATTTTTACAAGAATTAAAGCATCAGTATCTATAACTGAGGCTTTTTTCTTGTAAGTTTTACTTTCTTGTTTGTAAATACTTAAAATCCTGATCATCCTATTTAATGGTTATTAAATTATTTGCCTGAATAAGCCCTGACCTCTGACATGAGTAGACTGAGTCTTCCAAAAGCGTAGTGGTTTTGTGCTATCCACCTTACTTAAACAATGTTATACATACAGTGGTATTGGTATGTTGAAATCAAAATCCTTGAAAGTTTCAAGGACACATTTCTCAAGCAGATGTTACTTACATTTATCTCATATTTACAAGCAAAAATACATTTAATGTTCACTAAAACATGTTTTACTATAATGTTAGCGATGTCAGGAAGACTATATAACTCTACGATATAAAGCTGCTTTTTACAGCAAAACTGTAGTTTGCTGTAGAGGTAGAAAGCTGTTCTGATAAGCAGAAACTGTAATACTGAGAGTTGCACAAAGATTTTGGCACATTATTTTGACCCTATGAGTTTGCAGAAACTTTTTTTTTTGGTAGGAAAAAATATTATTACTCAGTAACTGGAAGTGTTACAGATGTGAAAACACTAGAAGAACTTGGCAAAATGATGAACAGGAGGAAATGTGATTCTGTTACTGGTAGTCCCAGTGGTATCTTAGGTGATAAGGGAAGGGTGGTAAGGGCGATGACAAGTGTCCTACTTGTATGATGAACAGATGATATAAGAAGGGATTTTCTGACCTTTATGGAAGATAAGTGAACACTTCCCATCTTGTATCATTGTTTTATAGCCTTATAATTAATAGCAGAAAATCTACATTGCTTCTAGTTTCCAAAAGGACACTCAAGGCAAATTGTTTTGCAGATATTACTGGATGCACAGTAATGTGCAAATGCAGGCTCCCTGTGGATTCATAGCCATAGTTGGTATGCCTTGATCTGAGAGCAGAGGCAGAATGCAGGAGAAGGTTAAGTCAAAGGATTAAGAATTCTTGCTTTTTGAAACTTAATAAAGGTTTGTATAATTGCATGTATTTCAGTATTGATTGATTATTTCTAGTAAGGTTTAATTTCTGTAATTCTTCGAAGTCCAGTAGGACAGCTGCTCCAACTATCACTTTGCTTAGGCAACAGCATTTTTAATTATCCTCTTAATGTAGAGGTTTTTTAAGTATAGCAGTGTGTTAAAACTGGGATTCTTACTCTGTGCTGAAGCTAGATATAAAATCTCATTCTGGGATTTTTTTTCTGTCTATGTCTTTGGGGTTTTTTTTTTTGAAGAATAATACCGGTGTGCCAAAACCTAATGGGTTCAGTGATAGAAAACTTTGACCAACCATATCGTTTAGTTAATTTGCATTCAAGTTCACCTTCTTGCTCGGTCATTTTAGTCCTACAAGCTCCTGAAAGATAGGGTGACTAGCAGCAGGGTTGAGACCATGAGCAACTCTATTGTCTCTCACTCTCAATGCAGTCTGCTGCATCTAGTGCTCACAAGAGGACATTAGTATTGCTTCATAAGCTTCTAGCATTCTCAGTCTATCCTGATGGAACTGCTGACAATCAAGTCAGAGTACTTCTTGGTGACTTAAGATAGTGACATAAATATCCCTTCTCTGTCTGAAGAAAAAAATTGTAGCTAGACAGGTCATAAAAAAGGTTTTTCTCCTTTTTTTTCTTGCTTGTGGTAAAACTTTTTTTGACATTCTATTTTGTTGTTGGGTTTGGTTTGGTTTTAGGAAAAATTGTTACTTAGGGAAAAAAAGAACTTAAACTCAATTCTGAAGATTTCATTTCTAAGTTACTTTGAGTAAGGTTGGACCATTGTCATCTGCAGAAAAAACAAAGCACAGTGTCCTCAGGAGTTGTGTTATCTTTAATTACAGTGTATGACACCTGCAAATATGCAGACCCTCAATACCCCTGCACTGGGATAGCTGCGTTCTGCTTGACAGTGGGTATCTACTTGACTATTTTCTTTACCTGAGAGCTGAGCAACTGTCACATAAGAGCTACAATAGTTAATCTTAGGCCTTTTAAGTGTAAAAAATATTAGCAGTTATCAGATATTCCTTTAAACCCTTTAGGGTAGTATTTTATTTGATGACTTCTTGCCTGAGCCTGTTTCCAGTAGAGGCGCTATGTAACTATTTGTAATTTGCTTTTTTGGAATTCTAGTTCTACTTTGGGTTTAAATAATTCATATTTAAATAACTCACTGGCAGTTTGGGATTATTTTTTTTTCCCCAAAGCACAGGAAAGTTTACAATGTAAAACATAACAGATAAAAGGTAGCTCATGGTGTACAGAGCCTCTTCCTTTTCAGTCACATGCTGGAATATGACTCAGTGTTGTGTCATCAGAATCCATTACTCTGTTGTGGTCATTAAACTGACTCATTGTACTAGTTTATTCCTACCTTGGGAAGTTACGGTGCCTGGGACCAGTGTTGCTGGCAGTCTCACCAGCACAGCAAATCAGAGCTTCCACGTGAGCCTTGCAATTCATCATTTTTCCATGCATGTGGTAAACTCCGACTCCAGCTAATGTAACCATAGAATTCTTCCTCTGTTAAAGATGTCAAACTGTCTCTTTAATAATAAGCTGCTGTAAGAAGTTAATACAAATCACAGGAATGTATCTATTAGGAAAAATGGCAGAGAATGAAAATATGGGAAGACTGTACTTAAATGACTAGAGTGGTAGAAGAAATTATCACAGTTTCTCCACAGTTCCAAGTACTGAGTTTAGAAATGTGGGACTAGACAAAAACTTCTGATCATTGAGGCAGATCCCTCAAAATCACAGTTCTTATGTCCTCTGCTATTGACAAACTGACCAATCTTGTCTTTAAATACAGTAGGATTTTTTTTGGTCCTACTTCCCTTGTTTGAAGGCTGTTCTAGAAACTTGCTCTGTGGTTTGAGACCTTGTAATTTTCAGTTTTAAATGGGTGTTTGGTTATGCCTTATTTTGGTCCTAACTGCTTTTCATTTGACTAATGTTACTTGGTCTCTAAATGTTTGAATCACTAGTGTATTTTTATTATATATAATTTATTCTCATAAGGTACAGGAGTTTTCTAGTTGTCCTCCCTGTACCCATTCATTTTGGAGTCTGTTCTTGGTCAACCAGAGTTACTCAAACAGAATAATGTGTTCCATTTGAGACTTATAAAATAACGTTAATGTGGCTGAAAGCATCTTCCATTGTGCCTTTTCTCAGCTGCATCATACTATCATGTTGTAATCCTTCTGTGATAAACAAATAGGTTTAGATATTACTTGTCTTATTCTGCTCTCAAACGGCATGGTTCCGGTATGTACCTGAACTTCTTGTTTGCCCAAATGCATTGATTTCTATCTGGTTATAGTACAACATCTCCTTTGTACATTTCCAGGCCTCAAAGTTATGTGGTTCTGCTTGTATTGTACAATTCTCTGTATTGAAAAAATGCTTGTCAAATACAGTATCTTGAGTACATTCCAAAGCTCAGCAGCTTGGAAGACAGTGCTTGGGAGCTAATGTTCGAGAAGACTTCACTCACGTGAAGCAAACTGGAGAAATCATGGTCCCATTCATTTGCAAAAGCATATGGCTGTTGAATTTTTCTGTAGGTCTAATACTCTGGTCAAGGTTTGACAGAGTTATTAGTCTTGCTACACAAAGAGAAGAATGAAGGATGATGATTCAGGCCATGAACTGATTTTGCATGACATGACTACTCTACAACCAGTGCGTGTTCTTGAGCTGTTCTATTGCACTTTATGATCCTGAATGTATAAGCAAGTAATATGAAACATATGTTCTCTTCTTGCAGGGAGGTGGTACAGGCAAACTGTGTCCGCTGGAACAAAAAGTTCTTATTTATGTGTAAAATCAGTGCCAGTGCCACAACAGGGATTTTGGATACTTGCATTTGCAGGGTGTCTGTACGGAAGGTAGGTAGCTTTTTTTTCCCTTCTCTCCTCTTTTCCTGCTCTTTCTTCACTTGTTTTGGTTTAATTTTTAAATGTCTGATAAACTTCATAAGTAAATTTTAGCTGCAATCATGTCAGGTATTCTAATAGAAATTTCATGGTATTCTTATTAATTACCTTAGTTTGATTAATTCATTGCATTTTTTTTCTTACTGAAAGAAACACTTATTCCAGCAGGACAGCAAAATAATCACTCATCAGTCTTTATGAAGTTAGCCCTTGGCAGGTACTTCTAGCAAGCAGCAGTAAACTTAGAAGCTTTGAACTATGCTAAGTACCAGAATTCTTATTTAGCATGTCCTGCCTTTGGGGCTAGACTTTATAAGAGCCAAATACTGACTGGCATCAGGCACTCATCCTTCTGCCTCTCTGCAAGATCACAGTCTCCCATTGGCCTGCACTGAGAACATTACTAATACTAAGTTCTAAATGACAGCAGTACAGCCTAGTGTATGTTGAGCTATTTTAAAATGAAGATTAATATTTGCTTTTCTAAAAAAAAAAACAAACCAAACCAAACCAAACAAAAAATCCAGTCAGTATCTTTAATAGCTTAATGACTTGTCTTTTTTTCTCTTTTTTCCTAGGAGTTAAAAGGAGGAAAGGCATATGCAAAGGTAAATTGAGATGTATTTAAGTAAATTGAGATGTATTTAATTTTGCCTACAAATTACCCTTTCTTTTTTATAATTTTATGTCCTTTTAAAGCAATTCCAGAATACTACTCTAATACCCATGACTTCATTATGTGCATTATAGTGACACAGTGGTGTTGGAACTCTCAGTGTGTTTAATAAATATATAATAATATTATACCACCAGAATGTTTTTTATAAAAGTAAACCCTTCTGCATCTGTTTACTTTTAAAAATAAAGAAAACTCTCCTTCTTCTTGTTCTCTCCTGAGACTGAAAATACAATTACACAGAATTTGACACTCAAAGTTTGTTTTCTGCTTTTTGCCATGGGCCACTCCCATTCAAGGATATTTTCTTACTCATATTTGAGAGAAACTGCCATTGGTGGTACTCAATGCTGTGCATGTAACAAGTACAACTAATACACTTATTACTAACTTTGTAATTTTCTTTTAACAGCTGGGATTTGCAGACCTAAATCTTGCAGAGTTTGCTGGATCGGGAAATACCACTCGTCGATGTTTACTGGAAGGCTATGATACCAAAAATACAAGACAGGATAACTCCATTCTCAAAGTAATTTGTTTTCTTTATGATACTTAAACTAATAAAACAGAGAACAAGTGGTATTATTAAACACTTAATGAAATTTAAAGCATATTTGGTGAACCTCTTTCTAGAAGGAATACTATTTAAAGTAAAAACATCAGTGTTATTTAGAGAAAATCATTAAAATCCATGCAGTCAAAACAGAATTTGTCCTACTCTTTGTAAAGGAGCTGGATAGCTGTAAAAGAAAAGCTTTCAAAAGGTATTCATATTCCAACAGGAATTGAAAAAAGAAATAGGGAAGTAAGATGAAAAAGTTAATACATTCCTATATGTGTAGTGTATATATGGGCAACTTCCTGTGCAGCTTTCTAAGAGTGAATCTCTGAATTGGCTTATTTGTGTATAAGCCAGCTTCAACACCTCAATGACTCCTGGAACTTTCTGTTTTCTATTTGATAGTAATGAAAGTAGTAACTAGGGAGCATTGTTGCAAGAAACCCACCCTGCCATTCTCTCCCATTAATTCAGGGATTTTAAAAAATGGATAAAGCTGCATAAACCTGAAAATCATTACATACAGAATGTTACAAGTCAACATTAAAAAAATTTCCTTTTCCTACCAAGACACTAGGATTAATTTCTCACACTACTGAGCACACTGTTGAAGCATGTACTTTGTGATTTCTCTAAGACAGACTTAGACTTTTTCCAGAAAACACTTTAATGGATGGCTTTGACCCAGCTAACAAGCCTTCTCAATGAATTGTTGTCCTGTGGCATTATTTACTCTTTTGTGGTTTTATTTACCTCTGGTGTTAGCACAACCAGTTCTTGTTTGCTAAACACTCTCAGCAAAGAACATATTTCAGCGCTCACTATTTTAAACAATATTCTGTTTGCTCGTTAATCTTTTAGATTTCCTGTCTATTTTTCCCTTGAAGCCATCTGAACTACTAATGATTCTAAAATTCTTCATCTATGTATCTTTTGCAGAATCCTGTATGTGCAACTATGTGACTTTAAATGCTATCTTGTGTTGTTTGCATGTGTACTAGGAAAAAAAAAAAAGCTTTTTTTTGCATAAGCGTGTTTATTTGCATATGTGAGGATGCCATTTTGTTTTATTTAAATGTAAGACTTGTGGCAAGTGTAAAGTAGTGACATGACCATGTATCACAGACCAATTCAATTTTTTTTCTTACGGTGGGTTTTTGTTTTCTTAATGTGTAGGTTTTGATCAATATGCAGCTAATGTCTGGAGACCCATGCTTTAAAATGTAAGTTTGTAAAAATTCTGTGTGGGATAATGTTTTGGTCATACATTCCATGTTCAGAATTATACCTCTAATTTGTATTATAAATAAATACAAATTTATAAATATTGAGTAATAGATTGTTAATATTTATAACATTAGTATTAATAATTATATGGAATAATAGATTAGTACTAATCTCTCCAATTTAACAATATTAAAAAAAAAACTACAAACAAATGGGATGGTAGCTGAATAATGGCTAACACGGTAAAAATACCAGTAGAATTGTCATAGTTCTCCTTGCTGCTAAATACTTAGTATATTTCCTAGCAAAGAATACTAGCCTGCACACCTGTAAATAAATAAATAAATAATGCAGAGAAAAACAGGGGAAACCAT